TCTTTAACTGAAGGTATATCCTAAAGCTTTTCCATATCTGTCTATAGAGTTTAACATATTTTTTTTCTTTTGGTGAGAACTCTTAAATTCTACCCTCTTAGCAAATTTTAGTTATAGAGTACAGTATTATCAACTGTAGCCACCGTGTTATGCATTGGGTCCTCAGAGTTCACTTATGACTGAAAGCTGCTGGCTTTTGGCCAACTTCTCCCTATTTCTTCGCCCCCAGTCCCTGGCAACTACCACTCCCCCCTCTGTTTCTATGAGTTTGACTTTTTTTGTAAGATTGCCCATATAAGTGATATCATGCAATATTTGTCTTTCTTTGTCTGCCTTATTTCATTTAGCATAATACCCTCTAGTTTCATTCATGTTGTCATGAATGGCAGGATTTTCTTCTTTTTAAAAGCTGAGTGATATTTCATTGCATGTAGTGTATACCATATATTCTTTGTCCATTCACCCACCAGTGGACACTTAGCTTGTTTCCATGTCTTGACTATTGTGAATAATGCCGCAGTGATCATGGGAATACAGATAATTCTTCCAGACAGTGGTTTTGTTTCCTTTGGCTATATACCCAGAAGTGGGATTGCATAGCAGTTCTATTTTTAATGTCCTGAGGAGCCTCCATATTGTTTTCCATAGTGGCTGTACCAGTTTACATTCCAACAAATAGTGTACAAGAGTTCCTTTTCCCCACATCCTTGCTCGCATGTGTTATAGCTGATCTCTTTGGTAATAGACATCTCAACAGGTGTGAAGTGATATTTCATGGTGGTTTTGATTGGCATGTTCCTGGTGATTAGTGATGTTGAGCTCTTTTTCAGGGACATGTCGGCCATGTTCATACTATCTTTTAAAACAAAATCTATTCAGGTCCTTTCATTATTTTTACACAATTGGGTTGTTTTGTCTTGGCTATTGAGTGGTATGAGTTCCTTGTATAATTTGGATAGTAACTGCTTGTCTAATATGTAGTTTACAAATATTTTGTCCATTCCATAGGTTGTCTTTTCATTCCGTTGATGGTTTCCTTTGCTGTGCAGGATCTTTTTAGTTTGATGTAGTTCCACTTGTTTATTTTTGCTTTTGTTGCCAGTGTTTTTGGAGTCAAGCCCCCCAAAAATTCCTACCAAGAAGCTTACCCCCTATGTTTTTTTCTAGGAGTTTGGTGGTTTCAGGTCTTACATTCAAGTCTTTAATCCATTTTGAATTGATTTTCGTGGGTGGTGTAAGTCAGAGATAGTTTCATTCTTTTGCATATAGCTATCCAGTTTTCCCAATACCATTTTTGAAGAACCTGTTCTTTCCATTGTATATTTTTGACTCCTTTATCTTAAATTAATTGACCATGTATGCAAGGGTTTATTGCTGGGATGTCTATTTTGTTCCATTGGTTTATATGTTTTTATTTTTTATTATTATTTTTAATCCTCACCCGAGGATATATTTATTGATTTTAGAGAGCGAGGAAGGGAGAGAGAGAAAACAACATTGATGTGAGAGAGAAGCATCTATCAGTTGCCTCCTGAATGCACCCCAACTGAGAATCAAACCCATAGCCTAGGCATGTGCCCTCACTGGGGATCAAACCCACAACCTTTTGGTATACAGGACGATGCTCCAACCAACTGAGCCACTCAGCCAGGGCTATGTGTACGTTTTTATGCTGTTACCATACTGTTTTGATTACCGTGGCTTTGTAGTAGTCACCCCTCTGTATCTATGGGTTTTGCATGTGGTTTCAACCAATCACAGGTCAAATATATTTTTTAAAAATTCCAGGAAGTTGATCCCTAAACATTACAGTGTAACAGTTATTTACATATCATTTGCATTGTATTAGGTATTATAAGTAATCTAGAGATACTTAAAGTATATGGGAACATATGGGTAGGTTACATGCAAATACTGCACCATTTTATATAAGGGATTTTGGCATCTGAGCACTTACTATGTGCCTTGCATTTTCCAAGCTGCAGGCCTTATCTTGTCGACTGTATTCTGTTGTGGGCAGAGAGAACAAGGGACCCGGAAGCCTCCTGAATGACTCTGTTCCCAAGGCCAACGTGACAGGAGTGTGAGCCCAACCCAGTTTCAGTTCTTGGTTTCCACTAGTAATGATGTGGAACTGGCAGGTCCCTGGGGATGTGCAGCTGTTCCTGGGCAGGGACAGGCACTGTGTGGGCTCTTGACTTTGTGTGGGAAAGATTTCACAACACAGGTGATTTTGAGAGTATGTTTATTAAGGCTGGGACACTGAAACAAAGGTAGGACTTAACTGTAAAAGCAGCAACAGGAAAGAGTCTAGGCGGTGCTTTGCTTTGCCTCCCTGGAAACAAAGGAAGTGAGCCAAGGCGGGGCAGCTGTCAGCTCAGTGGAAGTGAAGGTCACAGTGACAGAAGCGAGCCTAGCCAGGGAAATCAGGGAAAGAGGGAGCCTTACAGGATCAGGTTGTAAGCCTGGGAAGAGCTGCCTCTGCCCACTGCCCCCTGGTCACAAGTCTTGTGGGGACCCTTAGACTCTAGGAGGAGCTAAAAGGTGCATGCCCGAGAAGGGACATGGGCACGTTCTAGAGTGAGCCTGCCGGTCTTTGACTTGAAGGTTTTTATTTTCTGCAGGCAAGAATCTTTGAGTAGAGTTTCAGTAGAATATTTAGTAGCTTTCCAGGTGTTTATTTTAATATGCTGGTGCATTATAATGAGTGTAAGGGAAGATAAGGTGTTGCAATTTCACCATCTGGCTGGCCGTAAGTTATTCAAATTGTTTTTGAATAACTGTTCAAAATTGTTTTTTGTTCATTGTTTTTTGGCCGTGTTTAATGATCTTGTCTCAATTTCACCATTCCACTTGCCCAGAAATTTGCTTAGCTTCTTACTATCCTGCCTCACTACCGTGTGGTTTATTAACTCCACTGCCCTGAGCAGATGCCAGAGAGAAGCCACCAGTCTGCAGTATTCCAGAAGTCACAAACCAGCAAGCTGGCGTTGTGGGCTACTGTAGCCTCTCCCTGCTTAGCTCTCTCTCCAGTTTATTCAGAGCTCTTACTACTGCCGGGCTAGTCTGTCTCATATCTGGGGCCGCACTGTATGGCCTGCCCCTGCTGTTGAAATGAGACTTGTCTCTCTGCTGCCTTCATTTACTATGTCATCATACAGTAAGTCCCCACTTAACATCGTTAATAGGTTTTTCAACATTTTTTTTAACAGAAACAACGTATAATGAAACCAGCTTTACCATAGAGTGATATAAACAAAAGTTAGGTTCCTATAGCATCTCATCAATGTTAGAATTAAACAGCGTCATCTGGGGACCTGCTGTGCTGTAGAGAGGTCTGGTATTCTACACAACTCTAGTGGGCAGGGGAGGCTAACTGCTGTAATAAACAAGTCCAAAAATCAGTTGCCAGACACAGAGGTTTATGTATAACTCACAACACAGTCCATTCTGGGTTGGGAGGGCGCTGCAGGTGAGCAGTGGGAGGGGCCACTCTTCCTTGCAGTTGTTCAAGGACTCCAGCTGCAGCCGTCTGGTGGCTCCACCCTCCTCTAGATCCACCAAGGCTGTTGGTTCAGCTAGTAGATGTGGAAAGAGAACGTTGAGAGGCCTATCTGCTCTCAATCACCTTGGCTCAGAAGTGACACCAATCATTTTGCTCACATTTTACCAGCTAGCCCCAGTCACATGACCTCACCTGGAAGATGGGCTAGGAAATAGGGTCTTTCTATGTGCCCAAGAAGGAGAGAATATAGATACAAGACCACTAGAGACTGCACCACAGCAACCTCATATGGCACCGGGGTGGTCCTTCCATCAAGAGAATTCACAAGCTAGGCTGTTTTCCTCTAAATCTGAGCAGACTGTATGCTTCTGAAGTAAGAGGTTTTCCTTCTGTTCTGTATTCTACACAACCTTTTAGTTTTGCATTGACCTTACTGGTGTCCTCCTGGTTTTATCCTTTTAATTCTAGGATGATTATTATTATTATTTTGGTGTAAATCTGTTTTCCCTCAGATCATTAGGCCTGCTTACTCTTAAGATATTACTTGAGTTTGTACTCCTAGTGTATTTTAAGGGAATTTTTACTATTCATTATTTTGTTCTGGAACACATTTAATCTTCACAGTAACCCTATGCGATCAGTATTATGGATCGCATTTCCAAGGTTAGGAATCCAAGATGTGGGGAATGGAGTGGCTTCCCACCAAGTGAGTGACTGAGCTAGGATCCAGACCACATGCCTGACCTCAGGCCTGCATTCTGAGTCATTGTGTCACTCGGCATTTCTTTCTGGAACTGGCCAGGGGCAACTGTCTCCTCCATCTCTGTCTCCGTCCACCCCCGACATTTCTTTCTCTCCAGAAGTCTGAGGCTCTAGAGTCCTCGTGCCCAGGGGGGATCCTTCCTCTCGTTGGTTTCCAGGGCAGTGAAAAATAAAATGGGAGAATAATCAGGATTAAATTAATACGCAATTTTAGGTACAGTGGCATGAGATTAGAGAAATAAGAATGGAAGATCTTGTCAAAGACATTTCAGGGAACTGTAAAGAGTCCTTTTTGGAGGGTTGGGGATGTGCAGAAAAGAGAGTTTTCAGAAGTTACATCAAGTATTTACGATGTATTTACGCTGGAACTTATTTTTTGTGTGTCAAGTCTTGCTTTTTTGCACCTGTTTTAGCAACTCGTGCCTGTAGCTGCTGAATTGACTTAATGAGCTTGCATGCCTGGTGATTTACTGGCACCTTGTAAGTCTAATAACTAAGCACCTGTAGATGTGGAGACTTGGTTGGGTATACCAAGGTTTCATCACTCACAGAAAGGAGAAAAGAATCCAAGAGGTCATTAACAGATACAACCCAAGAGTGGTGTACTGGAGAAAATACTTAAGTCTCTAGGAGCTACCCAGCCTAGAACTGGAATTTCTGGTTTGCGATGTGCTGAGTTCTATCCCTGGATTTTGAAAAGCCCTTTCCCATTCTCTGCCTTCTCTTTCTCTAGGTTTGACTTGCACTGATCTGGGCCTAAGGTCCAGGATGGTTTGTTCCTGGGACCAGACCTGACCGGAAGTTGGCCTCATGAGCACGTCAGGCTCCCCAGCTGCCATGCTGCTCCGGAGGCTCCGGCGGCTCTCCTGGAGCAGCACGGCCGTCCAGCTCTTCATCCTCACGGTGGTGACATTTGGCCTGCTGGCCCCCCTGGCCTGTCACCGGCTTCTACACTCTTACTTCTACCTTCGCCATTGGCATCTGAACCAAATGAGCCAGGAGTTCCTGCAACAAAGCTTGAAGGAGGGGGAAGCTGCCCTACACTACTTCGAGGAGCTGCCCTCCGCCAACGGCTCAGTGCCCATCGTCTGGCAGGCCACCCCACGGCCCTGGCTGGTCATCACCATTGTCACAGTGGACAGGCAGCCTGGCTTCCACTACGTCTTGCAGGTGGTGTCCCAGTTCCACCGACTTCTCCAACAGTGCGGCCCCCAGTGCGAGGGGCACCAGCTCTTCCTGTGCAACGTGGAGCGCAGTGTGAGCCATCTCGATGCCAAGCTGTTGTCCAAGTATGTCCCCGTGGCCAACCGCTACGAGGGCACTGAGGACGATTATGGCGACGACCCTTCCACCAACTCGTTTGAGAAAGAGAAGCAGGACTATGTCTATTGCCTGGAGTCGTCCCTGCAGACCTACAACCCAGATTATGTCCTTATGGTGGAAGACGATGCCATTCCAGAAGAGCAGATCTTCCCAGTCTTGGAGCACCTTCTGCGGGCTCGCCTCTCTGAGCCGCACCTCAGAGATGCCCTTTATCTAAAGCTCTACCATCCCGAGAGGCTCCAGCACTACATCAACCCGGAGCCCATGCGGATCCTGGAGTGGGTTGGTGTGGGCATGTTGCTGGGCCCCTTACTAACCTGGATATACATGCGGTTCGCCAGCCGTCCAGGGTTCAGCTGGCCCGTCATGCTGTTCTTCTCTCTGTATAGCATGGGCCTGGTGGAGCTGGTGGGCCGCCACTATTTCCTGGAACTGCGGCGGCTCAGCCCTTCCCTGTACAGCGTGGTCCCGGCTTCGCAATGTTGCACCCCGGCCATGCTCTTTCCTGCCCCAGCGGCCCGCCGGACCCTCACCTACCTGTCCCAGGTGTACTGCCACCAGGGCTTTGGCAAGGACATGGCACTGTACTCACTGCTGAGGGCCAAGGGGGAGCGGGCCTATGTGGTGGAACCCAACCTTGTGAAACACATCGGGCTCTTCTCCAGCCTGCGGTACAACTTTCACCCCAGTCTGCTCTAGCGGGCCATGAGCTGCCTCTCTGAAATCGGCGGCTTTTTAGAGATTCAAACACTGAGCTCTGTATTCCGATGTGGTTGGTTGCAGGTAATTCGTTGTTTAACGTTGCCAGGGATATAAGCACTAACACTGCAGAGGAACAGACCAGTCAAGAACCTTGGCGCGAACGGCAGTTGGCCACAGATCCGGACCCCTGTCCCCCCACCCAGCCACGCTGCCTCGGGCAGTCTGATCCGCCCAACAAGGGGGCATTTAAATACCAGTTGTATTCTCCAGTTGTGTTCAGCTCTGCTTCGTGACAGAGATTGTGACTGCCAAAAATATTGTGCACAGTGATTCGACTGTTTCAGGATTTTAAGGGCAGAATTGGTGAAAGGTTAGATCCTTTTGAATGGATTTCTTTTCATGGGGCATGAGAATGGCTGTGTTTCGAATATATGTCTAAACGGGCAGGACCGTGTCGATCATTTCCACCTGTTCCCTTGAGCTGGTAGAATGAAGGCCAATAAAAGCCACACAGCGCCTGGCAGCTTGGAGGCGGGTGGCCTGCCTTTCTCTCTTCTGCGTTGTGGTGCACTGATGATCACTATTGTTCGTGAGATCTTTAAGGCACAGCAAAATTTGAAAGCACCTTATGGATCATCAAAATCAGATTGCTTATGTTTATTAGTGATTTAGTATCGAAGATTTTGGTCATATTCTGATTATTTGAAAAGTGGACATTGCAGAATGATGTAGAATGGGTGAGTTTCTTACTCACTCTATATCCCTTTTCCTAACTGGCTGGCTAACCATTCATCCTCATTTTTTTCTCCTAGGTAGCATGGTGTTATAGAAGGAAAAAACATGGGCTGTGAAGTCAGAAGACCTGAGCTTTTATTTCAGATCTCTCATGTCCCAGTGGTGTGACCTTGGGCAAGTCATAACCACTCTGAGTCTCAGTTTCTTCACCTGTAAAATGGGGGCAGTGGGACCTACCCTTCGTAGTTGACTTGTGGTTTAAATGAAGAATGTATGCAAAACACCTAATAAGTGCTCAGCCCAGAGAGGGCACTTGGCAAATTTTGGTTCTTTTCTCTCCTGTAATAAGTATATAAAGCTCAAGTGTATTTTGGATAAAGATATTAATGATATTGTTTAGAGTGGGGGTCCCCAGCCCCTCCCCAACCCTGGGCCATGGACCAGTACTGGTCCACGGGTCGTTAGGACCCGGGCCACATAACAGGAGGTGAGCGCCAGTGAGCAACTGGAAGCTTTACTCACATTACGGCCAGAGGTCCGCCTCCTGTGGTCCCCACCCCTCTCCTGGTCCATGGAAAAACTGTCTTCCAACTGGTCCCTGGTGCCAAAAAGGTTGGCGACTGCTGGCTGAGTGTGAGACAGAACACAGCTGACACCCATGAAGCAGCCGCTCCAGACCAACCACTACAATGAACACTGACTTGTCATTGTGATGTCTGCGGGGTATACAGCTCCAGTCAAGCCAAAACGACTTCCCATTCAAACTGGAAGTGATCTGAGGCTCCTTTTGAGCTTCTTCCAAGACTATCATCTAAAAATTACTTCTCTTGAGTGCTACAAATAACTGGCCTTTGATGACACTTACCAAACCAGTGGGCAAATCCCTTCATGAGGACACATGACTGAATAAGAGTTCAAGCATTTGTCTGTTTTGTTTCAGAGCCACATCTTCCCTTTGCTTTTACATTTCCACAGTGAGCTTCCATTTGGAGATCCACTCAACACAGAGAGAGGAGTTGGGGGGAGGAGGGAGGCTTTAGCACCCCACTTCACAGATGAACAAACCGAGACCCAGAGGTATCAGACAACTTCTCCAATTTCACACAGCTGAGCAGGACTGAAACAGCTCTTCTGACTTTCAGCTTTTTTCTTAACCGCATTCATTTTATAAATATCTGTGTAGTCAAATTCTCTCCTGTAAAATCCGATTGTAACCTGGACTGAATAATGTTTCTGTAGACTGAGGTGTGAGAAATTCTTTGTCGTGTGGGTCTTGGGGAACGAGCAGGTCGCAGTGTGTGTTGTGTTGTTGTAGTGACCTGTTAGGTGTCTCCCGGCAATGCCCAAAGCGATCGGAGCTAGTAGATGACTTACTAAGATGTTCATATTCCACACCTTCCCTCCTCCTCACCCAGCAACTGGTCCACTCCCATGTTTTAGAAAAGGACCACCCTCAACCTAGACCTTATTAGAATTTGTTGCATTAATCATTGGATCTTATGAATTTTTTTATGGTCCCGTGAGAGGGGGGCCACGTTTAAGCTAGTCAGCCTCAAGCTAGGGAGTCACTGCTGGTTTCCATCTCTGCTCTTTCTGATTCAGTTGTCCACTGCATGCGGACATCCCCTCCTGACTCCTCCGTTCTGGACAGCCAAGGCCATCTTGGCCTTGTCTGATTTTTCTACCTGCGTACCAAGACCTCTTCTCCCGTTGATCCTAACTAGTGTCTTCCATCCTTGGACATTTCCTGCAGCTGAGTGCTGCCCTTTTATCTCTACCCACTTCTAGATTTCCCCCCCTTTTTTCCCTCACACCTAGAGTCCAATTTTCATATTTTGTCCTTGATTAGGACAGCCGACAGCTTCACGCCAAAGCTGAAGTCCCTTGTTTAATCCTAAGCAAGGGGACTTGAGGAGACCTCGAGTCCCCTTCCCATATCAAGGGACACACAGGTTGCCAGGTGGGTGAAGGTTTCTAACAGTCCTGCTCATCTTTCAAAGTTTAAATTATTGTCAGGCCTAAGAAGGTCTCATTTGTGACTGATTGTATTTGCGTAGACATATCACTTAAAATAAAAGCACCCATTCCACTAAGGTATCCTGAGAAGACTTTTGTTATTCTCTTTTATTCATTTCTGTGGGGCGGATTTTTGGATATGGCAAATAGTATCAAGCACACACATACACACATACCCCCCACCATTGTGGAGTCCCAAAGTACTATTCAAAAGTGTGGGTTGTTCACTTAAAAATTGACAACTGAGTTTCTTAAATGGAAGCATTTGAATTGTGCATCCTTTTTTTATTATTGTGCCTGTTTAAAGAAAAAATGGTGAGAATACTACCATGTAACTGGAGAATACAAGCAGGATTTATAAAATGGCAGGATTAATCTTATTTCCCTTGGATACACTTCTCATTGGGGAGAACTTATTTGATTGGTAACAATTTGGGTGGAGAGGCATTCTAATTGAAGTTGATCACTGTGGGATTTTTAGATACACTAAGATTCATTGTGAGTTGCAGTAACACATGCTATAAAATTGGGTAATTTTAAGTTACATGAACAATTTGGATATTTTGGTCCCTACTACAGTGAATTTGCTGAGAAAAGCTCATTAACTGGCACTGTTTCTTCAGGTTGGATTTTTGGAAAACCCTTGGGGTTGTGTTGAAGACAGTTGGAAATTGAATAGTGCTAATGGCCAGAAAAGGTACTTTACATTATATTAGAGTGGTGGCTGGTGGGTCATCCCAATATTGGATGGTTCACAACCACGTGAATCATCCTCTGTGCTGAATGGGAACTTTTGGTTCACAATGGGACACGTTATCTTGACCTTTCCCTTGTGACCTACACAGAAATATGGATAAATGAACTGATTTTTTTTAAAAAGCACCTATGTTCACCATTTGGAGGTTAGAACAAGATGAAAATCCAAAGGCAAATGATGACTGTATCAAAAATAAACAAGGGACAGGAGGCATAAGAATGTGGGAATGAGGTAGCGTTGCTATGTCAGAGAGATGGGTGAAGAGGACAATGATCAGAGAGAGAAGCAGAAGGTCTCACATCCGACACCTGTTCTTGTCTGTCCCAAACTCCCTTGTATAATAAATCTTGTGTGTGTGTGTTCGGCCGTCATGAAATCCTTATAGGACCAGTTTGTGGAGAATGCAGAGGAACTAAACAATGGATAGTCAGTGTTCTGGTTAAATAATTCATTACCTTGCTAGGACCTGGTTTCGTACTGCACATAGAAGAAAACTCAAACCCCTACATTAGTGCCCAGGCCAGTTGTGATCTGCCCCTGCAAACTCTTGGACTCCATGTCATCACTCTCATCATCACTCCCCAGGCTCCAAACACACCTGCTTTCTTTCAGTCCTTGTACTTGCTTCATCGGTTCTTACTGCAAGGCCTTTCCCTGAACTCAGTTTTAAAACACCCCCGCCCCAAAGACTTTCCATTTATCTGAAGCAGTCTTCCCCCTTTCCTATTCCCAGGCCCATTTATCAGATTACCCAGTTTGAGTCCCTTCACAGCTCTTGTCATTACCTGGAAGTCCCTTATTTATTATTTTGGGTTTTTTCACCTCCATCTCCTACCACAGAACATAAGGTCCACAATATCAGGGCTGTCTTCTGTGTTTTATGTCAGATCCTAGAGCGATACCTGACACACAGTAGGAAATGATAAGACAGGAAAGAGAGGTACAGTGGAACTGTTACCAAGCTTAAGTGGTTCACCACTTGGGGTGCTCTATTCAAGAATAAGATTTCAGGGGGGTTGGCTGGGGTGGGGAAAATGCAGACAGCTGTAATTGAATGACAATAAAGTGATTTTTTTACAAAAGAATAAGACTTCACTGTGGCAAAGTGGCTTTACTGCAGCAAGTAAAGGAGATGAGATTCATAACCCCGAGAGCAGCCTTCCCCAAGGGAGCCTTAGCCAGTGTTTACTACAATTACATGTTGATTTCTTCTGCAGTTGGGTACTTTTATTTGTTGAATTCCTACGAGCTCATCCTGTTCACTGCTGCATCTGGGAACTACTGTGCTGTGTTTTAACATTTTGCAAGAAATAACGTTTAGAACTGCAAGCCATTGAGACCCTTATCCTATCTAACAGAACCGCCCACCAAAAGGAGTACTGGAGAAAGAAACGGGACGAGGGAAGAAAAAAGGTGAGGAACAGGTTGGTTCCAATTTTCAATTTGACCCTGTAAAAGAAGTTTTCTTCATGCATTCCACATTGAATGGCAAGTGCGAAAGGGAACTTCCTACATCCCCACGTGGCTCCTTTTCCCTTTGTTGTTATTGTAGTTTTGTGCTCAGGGGGTGGGGGTCGGGGTGGGCCCTGTGTGTTACTCTCAGAGGAAGGCTGGGTTTTCTCCTTCAGCTGCAGCAGCTGCATCTTCCTGGGAATGATCTGGACGTGACCACCACCTACGGTTGGCACCACAGCCTATTCTAGCACTTCTGGGTCGAGGGGCTGGAGAGTGAAGGAATGATCACCACATTGTACCCGTGAACTCCTCTCAAGTTACGTGGGTGTTACAGTTTAAACCTGACCATGTAGTTCTGAGTGCTAGGGGTGACCTTTGGCAAAACATATGATTTAACAAATCAAAGAGGTGCCCTGACTACCGCTATGGCCCAGTGGAGCATCAGCCCCCAAAGCAACAGGTGGCCGGCTAGATTCCCTGTCAGGGCACGTGCCTGGGTTGCGGGCCAGGTCCCCCAGGCAGGGGACATGTGAGAGGCAACTGATAGATGTTTCTCACATCGATTTTTTTCTTCCTCTCTTTCTCCCTTTCCCTATAAAAATAAATCTTTTTAAAAAAATAATAAGAGGTAAACATTCACAGAAACTGGCTGGGCAGAGTAGGGACCTGTTTTAAGGATCATTTTTTGTTATATGACGTTTGGTGCCTGATTTTTTATTAGTGTTGCTTTGTTTAACTGTGAACACGTTGAGTCTTCTGCAAAACGCATGTGCTGGCAACACCTTAGACAAAGAACATGCCCCACCCCAGTTTGTTTTAATCTGGAAAACAATGTAAGTCTTGGCATTTCTGGGACCTGGGACCTGTTACTTGTATTCAGCAGCCCATACTTTTAAAACACAAGTCAACAAGTCTGTGTAGATTTCCTTCTTGCAGTGTGTTTGGACAGTTCCTCTTGACCCTCTCAACCCTTTTCAGCTCTGACACATCCAGAATCCATAGTCAGCTGAATCCATAGTCAGCAGGGGTTGGGCAAAAGAAGCTTGGCTTTTGTCTAGCTCCCCCTCCAATGAGGTTTATGATAAAGAAGGCAGGGTTTCACCTTGGAATCTACACATGGAGTAGTCTTTCTCGTTTGTACAAGTACAAAATAAAACAAGCATCTAAATTTAAAAAGGCCTGGCTGGTGTGGCTCAGTGGATTGAGCACCAGACGGAAACCAAGGTTCGCCAGTGTGATTCCCAGTCAGGGCATACACTTGGGTTGCAGTCCAGGTTCCCAGTAGGAGGCGGTGAAAAGCAACCACACACTGATGTTTCTCTCCCTCTCATTTTCCCTCCCTTCCCCTCTCTCTAAAAATAAATACATAAAATCTTTAGAAAAAAAAATAAAATATAAAAGTTATTTAAAAAAATAGTGTGTCTATCATATTGAAAATCATAATTTGTGTGTTTTTTTGCAAGGAACTACATCAAACACATCATACATAAATCTAAATTTAGTGGTTTATCCCTATCTTAATAAATGCCTAAATCATACTAGCAATATTCAGGGGATTCAAGCTTTTTTTAAAAAAATCTAGCTGAGCTATTACCTAAAATGCCATAATAGGCAGAAACACACTTCCATATTTGAACAAAATTCTTTGAAAAGATTAGAATCATATTATCTGCCACTTTACCAGTTAACAGCAGAGAAAGAAAACTCAGCCGAATTAACCCCTTACTGTCACACTTAAACATTAATTCTCTCCCTAAGGAAGACATTGAAATTCACAATTGCATGTCAGGAATCCTCTAAACAAACATTTCGATCTACAGAAGGCACCAGGCATCACATCCCACGTATCAATTTACACTTACCGAGTGCCTGCCGCGTGACTGGTGCTGTGCTGAGAGCTGGCGACGCCAAGGTGAGCGAACAGACGTGCTTTCTTCTATAAACGAAAGGGCTGTCTTGGCAAGCCTGACAGCCTTCAATAACTAAAAGTAACCACATGGATATTTTGATGTCAAAAAAAAAAAATTCCAAGTAGGAAAGTTATGGCAGGAAGTCACATCCTAAGGCCTATGAGATAGATGAATCTCTACTGTGACAAGCTCTGCCCATTGCTTTTGTGTATCCAGAATGACATACTTAAAATGTCACAGTGATCTCTTCTCCGGCCCCTGGAACAGGGTGAGACTACTCCAACATTCCTCATTATTATCTTTTACCCACATACCGATGTAAACTCTGTATGTGAAATACTAACTGTCCTGCACCCACCAATGTAAAAGTATGTATCTCTATTTTACTTTTTACCCAATCCTAAAGATTTCCTCCCTTCTGAATCTGCCACCAATGGATTTAGTGTAACCTTTCTTGTCTTCTCCTCTGATTCTAATGTATAACACCAAATGGCAATTTGGTTTAATGGTAAAACTGCTCTGGATCATTAACTCAACCATTTCAGATTTCGCTTCTGGGACTGGTCCCCAAACCCTTGGCTCAGAATAAACTCTTTAAACCATTCTTTAGGCTTGCAATTTATTTCCTCAGCACTTCCTTCTAGGACCTTGGTGTCTAGGGGAGGAGTTAGTACAGTAAGGTAAGTCTTGGGGTAGCAGGGTCACAGGGTGTCATATATAATTTGCCCCAAAGAACCAGAACTCTAAGTTGCCCCAACTTTCTCAACTCCTCTGCAACTTCTTGCAGAGGACAACATGGCTCCCCAAAGAAAGAAGCCTCCAACTAACAAAGGGAATGATTGACACATTTACTTAGAGAAATAGGTGGGGGTGGATGGGGAATTAGCCTGTCCCAGCTGAAGGTAGATAAGGAGGGTACGTTGGCTCTTGGAGCAGGTGCTCTGGGAAGAAGGGATAGCTTTTGATGCAAGAGGAAGGTCCAGAATGTTATCTTTGCACTTATTAAAGGTGATTTCTCCTTATTGCATTTCCAGGAAAGCAAGCCTCTTAATGTCATGTTTTCTAATCTAAATTAGGAAAAAAAGATGTGACATTTTTTCTGAAACTGAATTTAAAACATTTATTTGGGGGAAAAAATGACCTCCAGAGAACTTTGCTTACCCAAGGGTGACACAGCTTGTTGACAGCCACTTTGCCATATGGTTCTCAGTAAAGAATCAAGAAAGGCCAAACCCAAAGTGCTTTTTGTCCATCCATCCCATCTGCTGACAAGCCTGTGGTCCTCAAATGCAGAGACCGTGAGGCTCACACTTGTCCTCACTCCTGCATGGCGAGTCTCATTCCTAAGGCTTTCCTGCTGGTGCATTGTCCTTTCAGAGTCCTGCAGCCTTTGGGTTTCTTGTGGCAAGTCTGGCTCTTACCACGGCTCAGGCTCATGGGCTTTATGACCGACTGCTAGTCAGACCAGAGTCAGGGAGCTCCTGTCCTTCTCACAGGGTGCCTGTAGCTCACCCATCATGGCTTGAGAAGGAGCACCCTCCTTTGAACTCTGAAAAATCCTTAACTGAGGGCCACAGTATTTCTTCTGCCGAGTCTCAGCAGTGTTTCCACATGGACTCTCAAGCCAGAAGAGACTTGTCCTTATGTTTTAAAATTAGTTGTTTTTAACCAATCCATAGTGAAACAGTGTTGGCCAAAGCCCTCAGTCTGGCTCGAAGGCAAGTGGGGCAAGCTGCTGCTCCGTAACAGTGGGATGTTTTGCACTTCACAAGCCCTGTTCATAACGCTTCAGCTACTCTAGTCCTTACCTTCATTCATTGCCCCGTATGAATGAATGAAGCTGATCAGCCCAACAATAAAAGAAAAGCCTGAGTTTTTAGCAAATGCAATGTTGAACTGATTAGAAAGTGTTCATGAGCTCATAGTTTCTAACCGCTTGCCAATAAGAAAATGGGATAGTTTGGTTTATATATCAAAGGAGGGAAAATTCTGATTTTGCTTGCCAAGGCAGGACTGCTCGAATGAAAAGAAAAGATGATGCTATCACTCTATTCTCTAAAAGAGATATTTGGAGTGCCTTTTAATATTCTCATATGTCAGGAAAGTACGTTGTACATTTTGCAGGTTAGTTTCAGTGCAGGAGATGGTTGTAGCAGTGGTAGCCTTCAGGGACATCCAGCTGCTCCAATAACAGCCAGTCCCCCAAGGCATCAAGGATGCCTTGATGCCTTGGGGGCATAAAGTATTTAGTATTTAGTATTCTAAAAGAAAACCTGGAGAAGGCAGTTCCAATGTTGTGATCAAGGACTCGGACCCTGTCTGTCCTCTTCTGCCATCTTTCGCCACCTCGTGGTAACTGCAGCTTCAAATACAAGTCCTTACAGAGCTGTGTTCAAAGCAGGAAGGAAGGAAGAAGGTAGAAAGCTTTTTCCTAGTGAAGGTCCCCGTCCCCCCAATTTCAGGAAGTCTCCCTGCTGACCTCTCCTTTTGTCTCCTGAGGGATTTTAACCTCAGGCACATGGAAATGGGATAAGCCCGATCACAATTCATTCGCTGCAGCTTGTGTGGGTGCCTATCTTCCTTGACCTCAGGGGGCTGTCTGCCCACCCCCCAAAAAAGCTGAGGGCCTTGGTCAGCCAGGCAGAAGATGTAGGTGAACAGGCAAAATGTCAACAGTGACTACCCTGTCTCTGGGGAAGTCATCATGAGTTTTAATATTTTTCCCACTTTCTATGATATTTAGAAATGGAAGCAACATATAGATGTTTATGTTATTTAGATTAGACTTATTGAACCATATAGTCCTATGGCTAGGTCATAAGAGCCTTTTGAAAAGATACAGCAGCAGATGAATTGTTTTGGAGTGTCAAAGGACTTTGGGAGGCGTAGCTCATTAGATTTCTAGGGGCCCATGAGATGCCATTTTCTTTCTGATACAACAGGGTTGCTGAGCAACCGAACATGAAGCATCATGGAAACAGTAAGATTCTTGTTGCCAGTTTCAAGAAAGTACAGGTAATAAAACTCAAATTGGAAAGGGGAATAACTAGTTAACCAGTGAAGATTATGATTTCTACCTATTTTCTTTGTTCTTAAGTTTATTGTGAAAAACATGGTGGTAATCTTGTTCAGTAACATCCTCTTAAAGGAGGGGAAACAGTTCTGTTCAAAACAACTCACTGGGTTCTGACAAGTAACAAAGAAAACACAAAGCTGAGATTTCAGAAGGGAAATAAATTGAGTGCAGACAAATTATGGAATTAAATATTTTAACCCAAAAAACAGTGATTTCAAAACTCACAGGTAAATGGGGAGCCTTGGTACTTAAATCACAACTTTCAGTTGGCAACCGATCAACCATCGTGTGTCAGTAAGCCATATACCTGTCAAGGGGTTAATGTGCAAAACCACATAAGGAACTCATATAATTCAATAGAAAAAAAATCCAGTTTTTAAAATCTGCAGAGGATATGAATAAATGATTTTCTGACAAAAACATACAAATGTCCAACTGGTACATAAAAAAGTGCTCAACATCGCTAATCACCAGGGAAATGTAAATGAAAACCACAAATATCTATCACCTTATACCTGTTAAATAGTTATTATATAAAAAAAGACAAGGATAAATGCTGGTGAAGATGCAGAGAAAAGGGAACACTTTTACACTGTTGGTACAGCTACTATAGAAAACACTTGGAGTTTCCTCAGAGAAATAAAAATAGAATTGCCATATGATTCAGCAAATTTCACAGGAATTGAAAACAGAACCTCAAAGAAATATCCGCATTCCCACATTCACTGCAGCATTATTCACAGTAGTCAAGACATGGAAGCAATCTAGATGTCCATCAACAGATGAATAAAGGAAATATGCTGTATTTATATAATGGAATATTAGTCAGCCTTTAAAGAGGAGGAAATTGGACTTCTGGCCAAGATGGAGTCATGGCAGACATACTTTGCCTCCTTGCACAACCAAAAGAAGGACAACAAATTCAAAACAAAAAATAACCAGAATTGCCAGGAAATTGAACTGTATGGAAGTCTGACAACCAAGGATTAAAAGAAGAAACATTCATCCAGACTGGTAGTAGGGGCATAGATGGGCAGCCAGTGGACAGAACTCACTGCAAGGGAGCAGCTGGAGGTTCAGGTCAGGTGAGGTGGTGGCTGGCGGAGCGGGCAGTCCCACATTCGTGTGCGGATAAACCAGGAGGAACAACTGGGGAGCGAGACAGACGATGCAACCCAGGGCTCCAGCACGGGGAAATAAAGCCTCAAAGCCTCTGACTGAAAACACCTGTGAAGGTTGAGGCAGCAGCGGAAGAAACTCCCAGCCTCACAGGACAGTTCATTGGAGAGGCCCACAGGATTCTAGAACGTGCACAAACACACCCAACCAGTAATCGGCACCAGAAGGGCCCAAATTATTTATGGGTAGCAGGGAAGTGACTGAAATCCGGCAGAGAGTGGAGCATGTGGCACTGTTCCCTCTCAGACCCCTTCCCCACATACAGCATCACAAACCAGCAACATGGGTTGCCCCACCCTGGTGGACACCTAAAGCTCTGCCCCTTACTATGTAAAAGGGACACTGAAAAAAAAAATGGCCCAAATGAAAGAACAGATCAAAGTTCCAGAAAAAAATGCAACTAAGTGATGAAGAGGTAGCCAGCTTATGAGATGCACAGTTCAAAACACTAGTAATCAGGATGCTCACAGAAATGGTTGAGAATGGTTGCAAAATAAAGGAAAAAGTGAAAGCTATTAAAAGTGAAATAAAGGAAAGTGTACAGGGAACCAACAGTGAAGGGAAAGAAACCAGGACTCAAATTAACGGTTTGGAGCAGAAGGAAGAAATAAACATTCAACCAGAACAGAATGAAAAAATAAGAATTCAAAAAAATGAGGAGAGGCTTAGGAACCTCTGGGACAACTTTAAATGTTCCAACATCCAAATCATAGAGGTGCCAGAAGGAGAAGATGAAGAGCAAGAAATTGAAAGCTTATTTGAACAAGTAATGAAGAAAAACTTCTCCAACGTGGTGAAGGAAATAGACATGCAAGGG